TCATGTTGTAATTTCTATTAGAGTAAGATAGGAGTTACACTATATGGCATCCTACTGCATACTAACTGCTCAAACAGACTGTGATTATGTCTACAGTTAATATCTATAAAGACACCCTATAGCTCACTCAGAGGATCATGAGATCATTTTTGCTTGAATAAAATATATAAATGATACATTATAATCAAGTGTTCAAAGGCTTAAGTTTAATTTTATTTTATTTATATACTTTCAGAGTAACGCCAATGTCCTCCAGCCAAGTGCGCAGCAGCGACGCCTACGTCTTGTTCTACGAGCTGGCTTGCTCCTCGCGGATGTGAAGCGTCCTAGAGGAGGGCAGGCCACAGCACCACTCTGACTCACAGACAGACACTGGACGGATGGACACGCAACACATGAAAGTGCTGTTGGAGCCTGGCCTGTTTGGAAATTTTACTTGGACATACATTACATGGCTCACACAAACACACACACACATACACATCACTCCACAGAAACTGCTGGATGGGGGGACAGGCTGGAAACCACTGGCTTTTTTAATTCTGCTCTCCGTTTGTACTCCCACATGTTGCTGGTTGCGGGTGGACGTGCGTTTACTGTGTGTGTGTGTGTGTGTGTGTGTGTGTGTGTGTGTGTGTGTGTGTGTGTGTGTGTGTGTGTGTGTGTGCGTGTGTGTGCGTGTGTGTGAGGTTGACAGAGGGCAATAATCCCATCTGAGTGAACCAACCAGGTGACTCAGTCTCCATCTCAGAAGCCCCTCTCTATGCACTGCAAACTGAACTCTGGTCCTGACCACGCCTTTCCTTCTTCTTCGTCTTCTCTTTGTGATCTTCTTGTTTGCCTCAAACCATTAAAACTGAGACGACCCAGTTTATTATTTTTCTTCTTGCTTTCTTTCTTCACGTTTTTCTGCTTTGAATTCATGTTGAGGGTTTTCCATTGATAGTTTTTGGGGCGGGGTAGGGGTTAATAGAGGCCCCTAGCATCGTTACCATCCTGGACTGTGGATGTACAGTGTTTAGACCGTGTCTATAACTGGACTGGTCATGGATACGAGAAGCTTGCAGCCCACCGGCCTGCTTGGTTTTCCCTCCCACAACCCTCCAGCACTCCCAGGTCCCTATTAGCATCTCCATCACTCTCCTGTTTTTCTTTTGTTCTCTAAAAGTGGTTGGGAGGGTCGGTGGCACTGTGAGCGTGAAATGTTCCAGAGAAGAAGTCTGCCTCTAACTCGTGTTTTATTTTATTTGTTTCTCCCATGTGTGGCTGCTACTGATGTTTTTAAAGTGCTGTGAACGGATGAGCGCACGGTCCGCTAAGGGTCGGCTACAGATTAATAATACAGATGATAACGGTAATAATCCTCATTGTCAGTATGGGGTCTTTTCTTCCTCTCTTGTTTCATGCCATTGAACAACATGGAAAGAATGTTTTAAAAAACACTATATCTGTATATTTTTATATCCTGATGCAATATAGAGAATGTACTATTCAATGGTGCTGAAAATGACCCGTAACTGTTTTCAGTTGGTTTATTTACCAGGTTTCAAGAGAGAAAAAAAAGTCATTATTTATGCTTACAGGTGATAATGTGATGAGTCACACTTTTTAACTGTGGCAGTCAAACACATGACTATATAAATATATATATATGCATATATATATATATATATATATATATATATATATATATACATATATAGATAGATAGATAGATATATGAATAAAAGTGAGCGCAACAGTGCTTTTACTTTCTGTCTTTGTATTTTTTTGGTCTCTGCTAGAGAGTCTGCAGCTGCCTGAATCTGGTCTTATAGTTAAGACAGAGATAGCTACAATAATGTTTGTTGTTCCCAAAGAGAACATTTGTTCTAGTCACTACCAGTACAACCTTTATAACCAGCACATCCAACGGGTAAAATACGTTTTCTAAGTAAATATATTTCTAAAGGTGCTACTGGCATGAAATTCTCACCAGATGTTGGTAACAACCCATCCAATCCACACATGCAGAGAAAACAAACCGTAGATGTCCATAAATTATGTGTAGTAATGAGAAATGGGAACAGGGGAAAAGGACTGAGCATGGGAAGAAAGGGAAGTGCAGAAAGTCATGACAGCTGCTGAAATCTATCAGTAATTAGAAAGCAACGCTGCCACTTAGTGGAAATTAATATCAGCTAGTTCAGTCCCAGCTGATCCATTACAAAACGGTGTCACACAAGCACCATCTCATGATGGGTAAAACCAGCGAGCTCCCTCAAGACCTTCACCACATTATTCTTGCAAAACATACAGATGGCATCGGTTCCAGAAGTATTTCTAAACTACTGAAGGTTCCGGTGAGTAGTGTTGTGGCCATAATCTAGAAGTGGAAAAAACATCCACAACTAGGTGCTCCCCACACCAGATTTCAGACAGAGTGAAAATGATGAGAATCAGAAATCCAGGAACCTACAGGATTTGAAGACAGAATCACATTTAGAAATGCATGTGACTGTTGGTGATGCCAGCTTCAAGATGCCTACTGTATGGAGAAACCAAAGGCTTTTGTATGGAGTATTAAATACATTCGGTAAGCATGTTCAATACTTATTTTACCTGCAGTACATAAAAGCACAACAAATCACTGATCGTGTGACCTGCACACTGCAGCATTAAGTGAATCTATATCTTTTAAATGTAAAATGTGGAACCGTGTATCTTCTACCTGAAAGTAACCATTCAGATTGATAGATTTCCATACTGTTCTGTTATAACTTATCTAATTCTACTTTGTGAAACAACTGATAGGGCAAACACATTGAGAAATCCAATTCACCAACTGCAAAAAGCAGAGCTGAAGCCAAGCAGACAGCTGCATCGACACTGTCAGGAAGCCTGTCAATGAAATTCCAAACTGTGAGCCTTTGCAAAGTTTAATGTGGTCTAATAATAGGAAGAATGTAGCACACAGAGTTCAGAGAGAAGTTGAGACAGGCGACTAGGGCAGTAGAGTGTGTAGTGAAGGAGGACATGCAGAGGGTTGGTGTGACAGAGGAGGATGCCAGGATATAGTGAGATGGAATCAGACGATCTGCTGTGTCAACCCTTAAAATGACGCTGAAAGAAGAAGATGGTCTCATAAAGTTCACATGTATGATAAAGTACAACTAGCACTGAAGTACAAATCCAACAGTCAAATTAAACACTCAAGTGTATTTATTTAAACAGGCAACTGTGAGGCGTTCCTGTGAAAGTGCTGCAATATTCTAAAGAAATACATTTGATTTCAAAAATGGCATTGTATTATAGGTCACAGTCACAGTCTGGTTCTGCAGTTGAGTATCCTCCAACTGCTGAGAGTTTAGTCTAGTTTATCTATACAGTGCCAAATCACAATAACAGTCACTTCAAGGCGCTTTATAATACATACAGAGAAAAACCCAACAATCATAAGGGGTATGAGCAAACACTTTGGCGAAAGTGGAAAGGAAAAACTCCCTTTCAACAGAAAGAAACCTCTGGGAGAACCAGGCTCAGGGAGGGGCGGCCATCTGCCGTGAACGGTTGGGGTGAGAGGAGGAACACAGAATAGAAGACATGCTATGGATGAGAGCCAGAGATTACTAAAAAGTTTTAAAACTTTGTACAACTATTAAAACATAGTGAGTGAGATAGATGACTGAAGAAGAAATACTCAATGCATCATGGGAATCCCCCAGCAGCCTATGCCTATTGCAGCATAACTAAGGGAGGATTCAGAGTCACCTGATCCAGCCCAAACTATATGCTTTAGCAAAAAGGAACGTTTTAAGCCTAATCTTAAAAGTAGAGATAGTGTCTGTCTCCTGAATCCAAACTGGAAGCTGGTTCCACAGAAGAGGGGCCTGAAAACTGAAGGCTCTGCGGCCACGCGGTCAAACATAATCAACACAACTGGAAATAATGCTTGATGTAGGAGATTAGCAAGTTGCCAGTTTGCACTATTTCTAAGCTTTAGGTCAAAGACTGCTGCCCCGAGGTCACAAAGAAACTCCAAACCATTGTTGCAGCAGTTCTCTGGGCACTTAATTTGAAGTATGTAGCTTTCATTAGCTACATGCTTTCATTTTAATTGGCAAGAGGAAATCAAGAAGATCATTAACTGAATCTTCTGTCAAATCTGTTAAATTAATACTCAGAATTTTGCTGACTTTTCATTAAAATATGGTTTTAAATAAGCTTTTCTTCCCTTGGAAGTTATATTTCTGTCAGCATCTTTGCTGGTACAGGATTCTTCTGTACTGTAGGTTCCAGTCCAGGGTCCTTTCAGTACCATGTCTCTCTCTGTTATAATGCCTCTGGAGAAAGGCTGGAGCCGCCTTGCATTCCTGCTCTGTGAGAACCAAGCACACTTTCCTGCTTGCTGCCTGTAAATATATGACACGCTGGTTCTACTATATGTTGGTATCGCAGACTGCATACTGGAAACTGTTTAAGCCCCTGTGTTTTATTTCATTTGTAATTTTTCAATAAGTAATTTAATCTAAATGGACATGAATCCATAATATTGTTAAACGAAGACTTATCTTAGACTGGACTGACATGTCCTGTTATTGGTAAGTCACTGTCATTACGACATTTTCTTATAATTTTATTAAAACATAGAATTTCCTAAAACTTTCTCTTTAAAAAATAAATACATAATATAATCCTGTAGTACTGAATCACCATTACCTTCCCACGTGCATTTCTTTTTCAATGAAAAATGTGAAAAGGACATTATAAAAATAATAATACAAGTACAGATGGGTAGTATTTTTTTAATAATTTTAAATATCATTAGCTTTTAAATATTATACATATTTCAATCACCAAAGAAGAGAAGAAACGTATTGAAACAGATTCGAATAAAGTAGACTGAGAAATTCAAAGGTAGTTTAAAGTCAAGGATTTCTATTGGTTTAAAGCTCTTCTCCTACAGCCAATCATAGCCCTCTAAATAAAGGTTGACGGAAGTTCAACAAACCATCAGAGAAGCTAGTTGCCGTTAGCTTACTGAAATACGATGGTGTCCCTACGGCAGGTGTTGGTATGTAGACTGTGTTAAAACGGTTACGGGGACCAGGAGGAGGCCGGCTAACATAATGCTTTCTGCTCTGGTCTGTGGCGCTCTGGTGTTCCCTGGACTTTTCTGCAGCTCCAGAAAAGTCCTTAAATCCACTTTCACACAGTGGAGCGACGCTGACGTGGTTTGTGTCAGTGAGAGGTCAGCATCCACACGGGTCACCTCATCAGACTACGTTAACACAAACGCCAGTTTAATGTTGTGTTGTTTATCTGTCTCGTTACACACACTGCGGAGATTTGCTTCCTTTGTCACATTACTAACAGGAAAGAGCAGCTAAATTCGGCACATATATAACAAACCATAGAGGCGTTTTTGACGTAAGGAATCCTCTGATTCCCGTTAAATATAAGCTTGACTTAGATTTTAGAATTTGACATAATAATTTGGTTATGTGTTTGTAGGATATGTGCCGAAGGCACCACATTACACGCCTGTGAGGGTTTGAATATTCATTGCGTGTGCAGTGGGGACTATTAAAAAGCCAGACAACAAATAAACGTGCATGTATTCCAGTGCAGTTCTGTCTACCCAAACCGTTGCTTTGCTTACTTTAGGCTGGTTTCTGCCATACATGCTTCTCTGGCTACTGCAGCTGGAGTCACAGTCATGACATCCTGCAGGGACGTCATGGCTGACAGGTTAGTGTTTCATAGTTTGTTGCACATGAAGACATGAGTTATCATTAGATTGTCAGTTTGTTAGTTCAGTGAAAGTGTTTCCTGTCTCTCTTCACAGTCACTGGCTGGTGAACGCGTTTGTATTGTTTGGAGTGCCCTACATGGTCTTTGACATCTATGCCATGTATCTGAGCCACTACCATACTCAGAAGCTCAAAGGTCATTCCAGCTCATACAGCGGCCACTCTCTTCAGACAGTGAAGGCTTTTCTCATCAAGGACTCCATGTTGGTTCTTCATCATATGGCCTTGCTTCTCATTTTCATGCCCATCACTCTGGTGAGAACACTGAGGAGTCTCTTCCGCTTTGTGTGTTCAAGCTGACTTGCCACTAAATGTTTGATTTGCAGTTCTTCAGAAGAGGACTGGGGGACTTCTTCATCGGCTGCCTGTTCATCACAGAGTTCAGCACTCCTTTTGTCTCCATTGGAAAGATTCTCATCCAGGTAATGCATGGGATTTACCTTTAGAGGAAGGCTGACATCAAGAAATCCCACTAGTGGCAAGAAAAGGTCTGCTTAAATGACAGCACAGAGGCTTCGATCTTGGCAGCACAGGAACAGGACCTAAGCTCCCGATCCATAGATCGAGGAGTCTCCCACAGCTGACAGGACCAGAGTGGCAGACTGTACAAAGACACCAGAGACTAGCCAAAACATATGGGTGTGAAAATCTGTCACACTAACAATTTCAGATCATCAAGCAAATTTACTGTTAGAGAAAGATAATTGATTTAAATACAAAATGCAGTTTTTAATGATGAACCTACCTGGTCCTGTGTTTTTATTGTGGGACCGTGTGCAGGGTTTATAATGGTCATGTACAAAAGATTGTGTTGTAGTACGACAAATGGCATAAATTCTTATCATGTTTGCATAAAAGTGTTTTGTGTTACGCACATGGATGTATTAGGGAAGTCCCCTCACCATCTTTCTGTGTTTCATATCCAGCTGGGTCTCGACAACACCAGACTCCACAGGATCAACGGCATCATTGTCTTGCTCAGCTTCTTCACATGTCGGATCCTGCTCTTCCCCTTCATGTATTGGATGTATGGCCGGCAATTTGGGATTCCTCTGCACAGAGTGGTCTTTCACCTGCCACTGCAATGCAACGTGGGTAACCTAGTGCTCCTGGCTCCACAGATCTACTGGTTTATACTTCTGTTGAGGAAAGCCAACAGACTGTACCTGAGGCAGAGGAAGGGGCCGGCCCGCAAAGACTGAAGACTCCATGATTTTCAAAAAAAAAAAACAACACAAAACCCTCAGATTATTGCTACAGTTAATGAAAAAATAAGTTTATTATTTTCATAATAAACTTAAGTCAGATTTAACAGGAGAGAGTTGTTTAACTGTGACTCTATCACATAGTCTGTCAGCAGTGCTGTTTTCTTTTTGTCTGTTCAGCTTTTATATGTTAGAGCCTCAACAATGTTACCCAACTACACAGAATCTGTTTGTATAAATTAAAGTCACTTTAATGAATATAGGATGAAATAATAACACACTGATGATGACTGAGTGCCCCTGGTGTACAGTACACACATTTAGCTTACGTTTTCATGCTGTCTACAATGTTAATGCAAATAAGAATAACTGCTCAACGTGTTGCAAAATATGATTTTAAGTTTGGTTTTTAATTCACAGAGAGTTCAAGCTTGTTACTTCTTAACTTGAGTTCAGTGTGACAGATTTCCTCCTTATTTCCATCTCCATGCTTTCATTCTTGCACCCTACATGAGTAGTTTTGTGTCCTGCCCTCACATACAGCAGGTCCGTGTCTCATTATATTAAAAATATCTTTTCTATGACATCACATAGAGCCAAGAATAAAAAAATAAAGAAAACTATTTGGAGTCGTCTCCAGCCTGAGCTTCTGGCTCACAGGGATAACTTGTACATACACTGACATCATTAGCGGATTATTAGAGAGGTGCTCATATTAAACATGACCTTAACATTACACTGTTGTTAATCAGCAGGCATATTCAGGATTGAGTTTTTGCAAACTCAAAGTGCTCAGTGGGAAACAGCAGATAGATCAGTGTGTGCATAATGCTGCTGAGGACACGAGCTGAGCAATTTTCTGCTGCAGCACAGCCTTCATCTCCAGGTTCTCCAAGTTGTCTGAGATGGTAGAGAAGAAGTGGCGGGTGTTGTCGCACTCCAGTGGGGTGCAGCTGTTTGGGAAGGCGGCCATAATGGCCTCGTACTGACTGAGGATCTCCAGACTAGAGAGGAACAGAGGCTCACATTGGCCTCCTGGCATCATCACCTGAAGGGAAGACACATTTCACCAGTGAGCCTGTAGTCCTGACTCAGGAAAAGAACACACCGAGAGAACTTTGTAGCAGTCAAATACAATGGCATATAACACATGCTGATCCAAGTGCATTACTAAATTTGAGCAAACATGCTGCTTGGTTATAAGAGGAAAAAATTAGCCAATCAGAGACAGAATGGTGTAAAGAAGTCGTACCTGGACGTGCTGAACATGGCAGAAGAGCTGGCTCAGAACAAAAAGAACTTCCTGGCTTGGAGCAGTCTCCTTCTGTGAATCCTTTGATATCAGAGGAGTGTCTCTGGCTTCTTTGGACTTTGGACATATGAGAGTTGGATTTGAGTCTGTGGTTGCTGGCGTTTTAGGAGGAGTTGAAGCAGAAGCAGTAAAAGCACCAGATGAAGGAAGAGGCAGTTTGGCTCGTAGTGAATTCATCATGTCCCTCACAGCGTGGGCGTATAACCTGCCTACGTGTGCCCAGCCATTCGCCGACAGCCAGTCAGAGCAGCTGGAGCCGCAGAGTAGCTGCAGGACTCGAAGCAGGAGGACTGACAGGCGGAGTTCACATGAAAACTTCCTCAGGTCCAGTAGGGGCAGAAAGTCCACGTACTCCAGAGAGAAAGGCACGTGAAGGCGGCTGGATGTGATCAGCTCACGGAGGCCTCTCAGCAGCCTGCTCCACTGGGAGACGGAGCACCAGGGCAGCATCTGAGTCAGAGCCACTAGCAGGCCTTTGCTGAACATGCTGACGTGGTCAGGTTTGTGCTGGTCCAGAGTGAGACAGGACAGCATGGTGCTCTGCAGAGAGTCAGATATGGAGCAACACTCCATCCAGGCTAAAAGACCTGTGCCCAAACCGTACGAGGGAAGGTCCACACCCAACCATTCCTACAGGACAGACATAGTGTTCAATGCAAACTGAGAGCAAAAACAATCAGCTCTAGAGAAACCACACAAATAACAGTATCACATATTTTTTTTCTCAAAAAGTGAGCCTGTGAGCCAGATTTCAATGTTAAAATGCCCAAATTTACAGCATTAAAAATTTGGTTTACAGCCTGCTACAAAAATGGCTTAAAGGTCTACAGGCTGAGCAGCATCTGCTGATTGAAAGCCTAAAACTTGTACATTACGGTGGCCCGCAGAGGTCAAAGAACACCAGCAAATAGAAAAATCATTAAAAAAATGGAAGTGTTTTTGTGGACATAATAACAGATGGCTGTTTAACAGCTAATAGCAAACATGTACAGTATCTACAGTTTTATATGAATCTTGTGTTATCCTGCATCGTCTTCTCTGACGAGTCCTCTTCTTTTAAGCATGTCTCAGTGTGATCGTGTGCATGTTTTGGTTCTGGTCACTTCTCTAGCCGGTCCATCACATTATTGTGTCCTGATTAACACTTCAGTTGTGGTTTGTGTGCTTTTACGCGTTTTTCTATTTTCTGTTTTTTTAAAAAAAGTTTCAGTTAATTTGACCTTTCAGGGCTTTCGAGTTTTGATTTATCTGATCACAGAACAGTTTGGATCTATCGATCCATTTATGAGCTTTGCCTCAGAGAAGACGGCAGTGTTTCTGGATCATATTCACAAACAGTGATTTCTGGAAGCGTTCCTGATTTCTATGATGGAATCATGGCTGTTTTTTTTTTAATCCATTGCTTTCTGAGGGCCTGTCCTCTGCCACAGAGATTTCTCCAGATGCTTTGAACTTTTTTGAAGTTATGTACCAGAGATGATGAGATACTCAAAATCTTTGCGATTACATTTCTTTGCAGACTGGTATATCTCTGCCCATCTTTTACTTCTGAGAAACACTGCCTCTCAAAGATGCTCTTTGTACTCTGTATTGTTACTGACTTGCTTCCAGTTAACCCAATTAGTTATCAGCCACTTGTTTTAGTAACACTGACTTTTCCAGTCTTTTAAGGCCTTGTCTTAAAGTTCTGCCTCCAAATTGAAAAGGAGATTTTTTTTCTTCTTCTTCTTTTTTTTTTTTTTTTTAAAAAAGGTACATTTTCTCAGTTTAAACATTTGACACGTTGAGTGTTGTACTTTGAATAAAATGAGGGTTTAAGATGTTTGCAAATAAATTCATTCTGTTTTATTTATGTTTTACCCAGACCTGGGTTTGCATTTTCACAGATTGGATGTTGATACTTGACACTGTTCTTCAAAGAAATTCAGGAGTAGGCGGGTTCCGCAGTAGGACATACCTGTTCAGGTAGATCACACACAGCAAGTAGAGAGGAGGGCACTTCATTTTTAAAGTGCTCCCCCCACACAGGGTTCAGCAGGAACTGAACCGTCCAGTCCAGCTCTTCCATCTTGTTGTGGAGCCAGAACAGCGCTCGGGACCAGCTGCTGGGGGCCGCTGCCACCTCCGCACCCACCACCTGCCCCAGAGTGGTCAGCACTGACAACAGCAGCTCCTTCATATCCATGGACCAGATGTGGTGGTCTGGTGGTTGCTCCCAACATCTAGGAGGGATCAGGTGGGTTTAAGTTGAAATCAAATGATGTTAAACGCTATAAAGGTTTAACAGCTCAGAAATAAAAAAGTGGAAAGCTTTACTTATGATACAAACCTGAGAGTCTGGTTGTGTAGCTGGGCCAGCATGTAGAGGAGGGGGAAAGGAGAGCAGTCGAACACCCAGTGAGGAGTGGTGGCTGCTTCCTGCACGTCCACAGACAAAGCAGTCTGAAGAAGCTGGATACTCAGCTCTGCATCCACAGAACAGTGAGCTGGCAGAACCACAGAATAACTATCAGTGACAAATAATTTACTTTACATCCCAATGCATTTATGTGACAGCCTTGGGTTATAGGTAGATTAGCCAAATGTAACTTAAAATGAATCTACAGCTGTGGTCAGAGGTTTCCATCCACTCATGTCAGGTTGATTTGGGTGACTTTTCATGATTTCCTTAACCTGTTTCTTTTCTAGGCTGGAATGCTTGTATAGCATCCATCTGTAATGACTTTAAAAAAAGAAAAAAATAGGGTGCATGTCTGAATGCAAGTTTGAATTTATTTTAGATTTTCTTTGATGCACACAGGGCCAAGATTTAACATACAGGCTCTCATATATACATGCACCTTACTAATATTTGATTAAATGTGCCTTTAACCACACTTTAACCAGATGCTTTTAGTAGTCATCTGCCTTAACTCTGGCTGCTATTTAAACACTCTTATTGGCAGAATTGGTATTTAATTTAAACACATTTCATTTAAATTGGTTGGTCATAGTGCACAACTTTTAAACAGGGTTCAGTTCAGAACTTTAGGAAGGTCATTCCAGATACTTAATGGAGCCAGCTTTCAGCAGCTAGACTCTGTGATCACCAGTTCAAACAACTGTATGTAAGAACAAGTACACTGTAATTGAACCGCTGTTCCAATTTCTGGAAAAGACAAACAGTCAATCTCAGATAAGATGAAAGTGGTTCAGGGACAACCCAGGGACCATCAAGCCTGCCTTTAACTGGAAACTTCTGGAACAGCAGCATCACTGTCCACAGTGAAGAGTTGTTGTTTTTTTTTTTACATCGCCATGGACCAAGAAGGTGCCGATATAGAAGCCCCTGTTCCAAAATCGACATCTTCACACTTAACTGACACTTGCAGCTGCAGAGGCTTTCAAACCTAAGAATGCTGTACCTGCTGTCAAGCATGGTCGTGGTAGCATCATGCTCTGTGGCTCAAATCAACAGTCAGATGGTTGAAACGTGGATAAAGAAGGCTGACGTTACCGTAACCTTCTGGAATTCCCTTCCTAAAGCCCAGACCTCAACTCTAGTGGTCTATGCCTGGAAACCAATAATTTTGAATAACCTATCAATTCTGCCAAGAATTATGCCAGATGCTTATTGGTAACTACTAAAAGTGTCTGATGAAGATGCAACATGCTACGGTACACTTAACCTTTTCATTTAACATTTAGAATTTTGACCCTGTCAGGATCAGTGAAAATAAATTAAAACCTGTGAATCCAATTCTTGTTTGGGTTTTTTCAAAGTCATCACACATGTATGCTGTACAATCATTCCACCCTGGAAATGTTAAAAGCCCAGACGTGATGGAAGCACCACGTTTACCATGACATTCATATCCATGACGAGTGGATCTAAACTTTTGATCACAACTGTAAAATGCTAATAAAATAGCTAATGTAGGTTGTGGTAAACATAAACATGTGATATTCACCTGTAGCTGAGAGGTTAGGCAGGACAAAGGTTTTCACGACTTCCTGAGGTGACAGAACGCTTTCCCTCTTTCCTTCTCCCTCAGCTGAAGTGACGGGCTCCATGAGCAGACCCAGAAACTTGAGGAACTGTTCTTTTTCAGTTGCTAACAGTGACTTGGTCTGGATCATGTCCTGTAAACACTTGCAAAGTAAACTGCACACCACATTTTTCCTCCCTCCATCTCTTCTTCCCCTCTGCTCTCTGAGTCCTGGCAGCTGTTCCAGGATCTTAGCCATTAGAGAGAAAGCTCCTTTGTTGAAAACAGCCGAATGACAGCAGGACCTCAAAGTGGCTTTGGGGTTCTGAAAGGCCACTCTTGCAACTAGAGAGGCTGCCGTAGTCAGATTGCCCTGTGAAGCTCCCACTGAAGCTCCGCCCGCCCCCTGAATGATGCAGTTGAAGGCCATGTTGAGCTCCTGTTCAAACCCATCAGCTAGAGCAGCAGGTACAGAGCACTCGAAGAACCCCCTGCTGGATAATCTCAGCATGGCAGCCAACGCTTTGTTCTGGTCTTCTAATGTGAGTGTGGAGAAAATACCTGAAGTGATTTTCAGCAGTTTGTGACACTGCCTCACATTAGCGCTCTCACTATGGAGTCTGCTCATTAGGGTGGAGGCGAGGCTCATGAGGGTGCTGTGCTGCCGGAATGCCCCCTGGTTTTTTTCCAGGCAGTCGAGCCAGCGATCCGCACGTTCTGCCCATAATGGCTCGCTGGCAAACAACGCTGCAAAGTCCTCACAGTCTTCCAGGTGATGGGTGATGATGACAGCAGCAACCTCTGCGCTCACTTCAGGGCTGCTCTCTGTGGCAGGGAGGGACAGTGACTTCAGCACACCTCTGAGTGTATCATTCTCTCCTTCAAAGTCGTCACTACCAGCTCCGGGTGCTTCCTCTAGAGAAGCCAGGACCCTCTGGATGCTTTGTTCTAGCTGGAAAGCAGAGTAACTAGGGCTGGAGTGGTCACACTGACTGAGAACACCGCTTTGCCAAAACTGTGCAAGCTCTGTGATAATCCTCAGGGCTTCACTCAGCTTCATCTGCCGCAGATTAAACTGAGAAGGTGTGTGAGAAGCACGCAAGTCTTTCAGAGCTTCCTGAATCATTTCAGGACTCAGCTTCTCCATGTTCTCCTCCCTGGCTCGGAGGATTTTACACAAACAGTCCAACTTCTCTTTAGCTGGAAGCGCCACGTTTTGGTCTATCAGGAAGGTTGTGTAAAGAGCATCGAGGGAAATGGATAAGGCCTGAAAGCAGAGGTCAGGTGAGGATATGTGACCTTTCATGTCTTTGAGTGCGTAAAGAAGAATGTGCAGAATATCTGCTGAATTTGGCGTGTCTAACTTTAACCTCTTTGCAGCCTGAGGGGACAGACTGGAGGACTCAGAGGAGAGGCGAGCAAGCTGGCTGGCAAACATCTTCTCTATGCTCTCTTCTTCTCCAACCTCCTCTTCCACTCTGCCTTTCCACAGCTCCCACCAAACCTCCAGAAGGAGTCGGACATCGTCTTCCCCTATGGGATCGCTCCTCACATGTTCCACCAGCCTTTCCAGCTCAGCACAGATTTGAGCGTGAGGAAGATGCAGGAGGAAACTGGCAAAAACACCCGCAGCTGCTGCTGACTTCACCAGCTCCAGCAGGACGACACGGCTGACCTCAGGGAGGCTGTTTTGGAGAGAGAAGAAAGGGTTCTCCCTCCAAGCAAACTCAACGTTCTCCTCAGCCTCTCTGCACAGCAGCTTCAGCCACACAACACAAACCATCCTCTTTTTCCAGCTCTCAGCTGCTGGGTTGGGACAGTCACTGACTTCATCCTGTCTGCAGATTTCTTTGAGTGCTTCCAGGATCACATGTCCCACCCGGCTCCAGTCTGCTTTCTGAATGGTGGACAGAGATGAGGGGGAACACAGCTTATCAGCCAGGAGGAAAGCTCCCTGAAGCACTGTCGAGTCTGAAAGAACAAGAGAAAAGGCATCAAAACTCAAATTTGCCAGAGGAAATGGATTTTTTTCAAAATTTTTAACTGTCCTCTCGGCTCCTTAAATTAGCCTAAAATGGCAAAGCTGCGCAAAAAACAACACAGTTGATCTTAAGACCAAAAAATGCCACTTTGAAAATGGCTTTTGACTGGAGATAAGCTGAAGTTCAACTCTGGTTCATCTTAAGTTGACAGTGGAAGGAACATGGTCTGAAGCCTGAGCTCAGAGAGGTTACTTATATCTCATTATTTTAAATCGTGATCTTGTATATGAACATCCACACTCTGTAGAATAAGGTATTGGTGTCTATTTTTCAGTTCCACACAGAATGAATACAAGCTATATAAATATATATAGAAAAAAATGTCGCTGCTCTGTCATTCTCACACACATACAGCAGAGCGGTTAGAGAACAGCATTACCTCTTAAACTGCTAAAGCTGATACTGTTTAATTTTGTGGGGGTTGATTATGGCGAAAAATCTCTGCACATGCAACATTAACTGTAGCAAAACAGAAATTGTGACTCGTGTTTTCTGTATGGGAACGTGAGGAGTGTAACGGTTACCTTTGTTCATTATTAGTGCCAAAGCTGCAGAGTGGACCTGGATGCTGAGAAGCTAGTTTGCTAATTTTAGTTCCAACTATAAGCTGTACCACAGCTCTAATACTTTACATCAGAGTATAATGAAGTAGAGAGCAAACACGATACTACCTCCCAGCAAAGGTTTCTATCAGAGTGACACAAACTTCGTATAAAGCGCTTCCGCTGTTAGCGTCAGCGTGTGCAACCAGAGAGTATTCATGATCAAGAACTCCCACTCTGTGGATTTCCGGTTTCATAGAGGGCGCTCTAAGCATATGGCAGAATGAATAGAGCTCTATTCAGCCCCAGAATGTCATTTTTGTTGGGTAAACAATTTTGGTTATTGTTTTTTGTTTTGTTTTTAAATATTTTCCTTAATAGTTAATAGATGTAGCTTCATTTTCACATTTTTATGGTTTCCAACATTTCGGTGTAATACAAACAGCACCAAGAGCCGCATAATGCATCGACTACTTTACTTTCAGGCATGAAACACACAGCCGCGGAAAACGTCTGACAGTAACTTCCTGACAGTGATCACCTTCGACCACCACTTTTTTTTTTCCTATTTCGTTTGGTTTCTTATTCAACCTTTTCAAGATGTTGTTGCACTAATGTTGTCTCCCAACGAGAGATTGTAATATGTGCATAAATTTAATTAAAGTACGAAAAAAAACAAAAAAAAAACAAAAACCTTCGACCACCACAAGCAGCGTGTTCTCATATGCATGATAGGTTTTGTTGTGGTTTAACTACGCTCCCAATATCTAAATAACGTATGATGTAGATTATTAGACCTAAAATCGGGCATGGAGAAATAATTATTTGAGTGCTTTCGCTACATTCACAGCTATTATTTGAGGACTTTCAGGCGAACTAAATAGTGAAACGAGATTAACAGGAAGTGACATGACTCTCGTCCATCAGCTCTGGTGCCGGAAAGACTAGTAAGGCTGCTGTCGTCATGCCCTCACAGCGACATCTCAGGGCAAAGTCAATACTACGAGTTTTATATAAAGTCAAAAGCAAAAGCACCTGTTGCAAGCTGTTGACTCCTCATGAACTCCTGTGAACTATTTATTAAACTATGTGGTGCGGTGGTTCACATAGTCACATTACAGCAATCCTGAGTTCGAATCAAATATGGAGTACATTTGCCCCGTGACTCCAAGTACACCGGGTACCGCTCACAGTTTAGAGTCCGTTTGTGTGGTAATGGATAAAGTAAAATATGCACCTACCAGACAGACCTCTGGCCACGTGGCAGCTGGGATAGGCTGCAGCTACAATAATGTTACGTCTAACATTAAAACAGGAACGCTGTAAAAAGAACTAGGACATTGTATCCTGATTTATTTATTTATTTATTATTTGCAATTTCCTAGCATATATTCTCGATTTTATTAACTTTTTTGATTATGATTAATGTTTTTTTAAAGGTTATGTTTTCGAGCTGCTCATCACGCCAGAAATCGCACTCCTTTTTTCTTTTTCCTTTGAAATGAAAGTGAAAGTGTCAAGAGAAACTTTGTGTGGACATCGGACAACAAGGAGTTCGACAGTGGAGAAGAATGAGGGTTTTAATCTTGAGGATTTTTGTTTATTTGTATCTAAGTGCAGGTGAGTTATAGTGCAACACGTTGTCACAGATTAGCTTAGGTCAGTTTGTGCGTGTTAGGTCAACAGTGACTATAGATATTCTAGTCTACCGCATGAATTCCAACGGCTATGCTGTCTGACTGATGTATTCGTGTCATTCAGGTGTGTGGAGTGTCCATCAGATCCAGTGGCTGCCTTGTTACTTCATTGATGAGCGTTTATATTTGAACAAGGACAACCACACTGAGACTCGGGTCATCCCCAGAGAGGCTATACTTCAGTTTGGTCAGAAAGGAGATGCTCCTGTTAACCCAAACGCCATCACTTTCCTGGTCATCAGTGAGTTACTGCAGCCTGCATGAGGAGAAGGCTGAAAAAACAACTACAGTGTGTTAGTGTTTATTTTATTGTCTTCTAGGATCAAAGTTGGATCTGCTGCAGTATGTGGAGGGGGTGGAGGCAGAGCAGCTGAAGTGTGAGCTGCACAGATACAGCACAGAGGGCGGTTACGTCCGCTGGCCTGTCCTCGGTGCCCGGGAGTACAACCACTGGTTTACCTGCATCCTCAGACACAGCAGGGGCCGCTTCACAGTCGCTGGCACCCTTAGACACCCCTCTGACCAGCCTCCCCCAGGGCAGCCAGACTACCACAACTGGTCTGTCATCGCTGACAAAGAGGTACTCACCACCGCAGGTAAACTCACATATGAGGATTCAGTTTTTTTCTTTTGAGCCATACAGACCATCTCCTAGGGGTTTGTTAATTGCCTGCCTGTTGCAGTGGCAGAAGTTCAAGGACAGAGTGCTGAAAAGAAACTGTGTTTGTATCTTGGAGATTAGAGTAGAAATAGAGAGACAGTTATAGTTATATTGACTTGGAATGGTGGATGGCCAAATAATTGTCATGTCATAGATACAGGAAGTGGTTGTCACCTGTTTGAGTAAAGGACACTTGTGTTGTTTGTCACACTTTTTCCACAGTCGCCATGGTCATCAAAACACAGACTCCCTCAGTTAAAGCACGCCTGAAGTCCCAGCAAAAGCTCCACTGCCAGTTTGATGTTGACCACAAGGGTGCAAAGGTCACTGTAGAGTGGCATAGGCACCGCCCTGGTGAGAGGACCAAGCTCTTCAGTTACAACAGGCACACAGGACAGACTGAGGGGAGCGGTGTCGGACTACGTGCCCTTGCGGCTGGAGATGCCTCTTACACCCTCGCCTCCACCACAATGATCAGTGAAGGGACCTACATTTGTTCAGTGTCCGTGTATCCACTGTTCACCAAGGTGGATATATATCTGCAGATTGAAGGTACATAGGATTGGATCATTCCCTAAATGTCTATACTACCAGTCAAAAGTTTGGACACACCTTCTCATTTAATGGTTTTTGTTTATTTTCATGACTATTTACATTGTAGATTCTCACTGAAGGAATCAAAACTATGAATGAACACACATAGAATTATGCAGTAAACAAAAAAGCGTGAAATAACTCAAAACATTTTATATACTTTAGATTCTTTAAAATAGCCACCCTTTGCTTTGATTACTGCTTTGCACACTCATGGCATTCTCTCCATAAGCTTCATGAGGCAGTCACCTGAAATGGTTTTCCAACAGTCTTGAAGGAATTTCCAGAGATGCTGAGCACTCCTTGGCCCTTTTGCCTTCACTCTGTGGTCCATCTCATCCCAACCCAGCTCAGTTGGGTTTAGGTCAGGTGACTGTGGAGGCCAGGCCATCAGGCACAGCACTCCTCACTCTCCTTCTCAGTCAAATAGCCCTTACACAGCCTGGAGGTGTGTTTGGTGTCATTGTCCTGTTGAAAAATAAATGATGGTCCAACTAATAGAAAACCGGATGGGATGGCATGTTGCTACAGGATGCTGTGGGAGCCATGCTGGTTCAGTGTGCCTTCCATTTTGAATAAATCCCCAACATGTCACCAGCAAAGCACCCCCACACCATCACACCTCCTCGCCTGCTTTTCCTTAGTGGTGCTTTCTTAGCAGCTATTTGACCACAAAGGCCTCATTCTCACAGTCTTCACTGAACAGTTCATGTAGAGATGTCTGCTACTGGAAAATCTGTGTGGCATTTATCTGGGCTCTAATCTGAGGTGCTGTTAGCTTGTGATTTCTGAGGCTGGTGACTCAGATGAATTTATCCTTAGCAGCAGAGGTGACTCTTCGTCTTCCTTTTGTGGGGCAGTCCTCATGTGAGCCAGTTTCATCGTAGTGCTTGATGGTTTTTGGGACTGCACTTGGGGATACATTCAAAATTTTAGCAGTTTTCCAGACTGACTGATCTTCAGTTGTTAAAGTAATGATTGACTGTTGTGCTTGCCATAAGAAGCTGTGTCCAAACCTTTGACTGGTACTGTATATGTTGTCAGTACAAACAATGAGAGTAAGAAACCTATTTTTAAATAGCTCTTTATAGCATTTTATTACTTTGACCTTCAGATCAATCTATTGACCTTGAAGGAAATGTAAGAGGTCAAATGTGACATGATATTTGAAATCTTTATATGGTACTTTTTATATGTTGTCAATATACAGCACCCTTTTAAGAATCTCAGTTTTAATGAACTGTTAAATCCATTTGTTGGATTGTTACTCCACTACACTCCACTAAGTGTGGTCAGAAACTTTTTTTTAAAAAATTATTCTGTTAAGTGTGTAACCTGAAATGCATCTTACCAAATTTGACTTCCTAGAATTCTGGAACTCAGACCAAATCTCAACTTTTAAATGTCACCAGTTTTGACCTGAAAGAATATTAAATTAAAACGAGTGAATTAAATAAAACAGCCCAGTTACTATAATAAATGTCTGCTGTTAGGTATTGAAATTACTATTATTATTTATTTTTCTCTCTCCTTTCCTCAGAGTCTCCCCATGTCTCCCTCAATGTTGCAACCACCCTGTTATTGCAGGAGGGCAAGGACTTGATGGTTAAGTGTGAGGCAAATGGCTACTACCCTCGGGATGTGGAGATAATTTGGTACGAGGAGGATCCAGGCACTCCACATCCCAAGCCACTAAACCATAGTGTTCTGTTCAGCCACAAAGTAAATGGGGACATGACCTTCTTGCTGTCAGGTGTCTTCTACCTCCAGGCTGCGCTCAGGGACTCTGGGAAAAAGTTCACATGCAGCGTCTCCCATCAGTCCCTGAAAGTGCCCATAACAAAAAGTTTCACCCTGATTGTGGAAGGTGAGTGTCAGTATAAGATAAGATAAGATAAGATAACCTTTATTAGTCCCACACGTGGGAAATTTGTTTTGTCACAGCAGGAAGTGGACAGTGCACAAGTTATGAGTATAGTATAGTACTAGGAGCTAGCAGCTGGGAGGAGCAGAGCCTGATGTGTGTTCTGTTTCAGAGCCAACAAACTGGATTTTGTACCTCGTTGTGGGCTCTGTTGTGATCCTGCTGTTGTATGTGAAGCGGCGCTACCTGCACTCAGGTGAGTGATACAGAATTCCAGCTAAATCACACCTGAGGAGCACGTGCTTGCTGTTTGGGATCAACTGACATATAAAGCATGTTCAACCCCAATTTTAAAAAAGTTGCAAAGTTGTGTGTAAAATGTAAAGAAAATAATATAAATAACATATATTAGAGAAAATGATATTTATTCTACAGAAAATAGTTATTAATATAGATAAATAAACAGAATCGATGATTTGGAATTTAAAAGAAAATGGAAAACATGTAAAAAGACTAAAGTGACAAAATTTACGGAGAAAAATACTAGACTATTGAATTTGATGACAGCAACATATCAGAAAAAAATGTTGGTGCTGGGCAGGAAAAGTCTGCAGTACTGAAAAAAAGCGGGAGAAACATTTTTGGAGTCAGTAACATGACTGGGTATAAAAAGAGCATCTCAGAGGGGCAGAGCTTCCCAGAAGTGTCTAAGAATTGTTTGACAATTTCAGAATAATGTTCCATAAAATTGCAAACTTTAAACATGTCATAGTTTCCTGTACATAATATCATCAAAAGGTTCAGAGAATGTGTCTAAGGGACAAGGTCAATTTCTTTTTTAAATAGTTGCATTGAAGCATTAAATTTGATAGTTAATCAAATAATATGCCACCTGGCAAATGAAAGGCAACAGACGATAGACAAGGCAGAATATCCAATCAGAATTGGGCCATGCTTTAAAAACAGGGATTCTGTCATGAAAATCAATGCAAAGCTCACGAACGCCTCTACAAGTGAGTGTCTGTGAATACAGGTCACATCCACAAATGCAGGTTGAAGCTCTGTCACACAAAGAAGAATCTAAATATGAACTTCTGTTAACCCAGAGCTTCCCAAAGTGTGGGGCCCGCCTCCTAGAGGGGAGCGCGGAGCCATTGCAAGGGGGGGAAATATGAAATATGAAAAGGGGAAAATAAAACCCAAAACACTTGGAAACTGCTAGCACAGGGCGCCCACACAAACGCAAAGCAGGAGATGAAGCATCGCATTGCTGAATATATTTCCAAACCAACTTCATTCTAAGCCAAAGACTTACCCGTGTAGGTGTGGACGTATCGTAAAGGAGTTAGTCGTTTATTTTATTACTACCTGTAATTTATTGCAGATTACTTTTATTTGCTTAATTGTTTACTAAATGTTTGAGGTGTGAAATAAACCGCAATGGAACAAAATATGGGTGTGTGTGGTTGGAGGATGGCGGGGATGGGAGGGCAACATTTGTCTTGTAAAACAAAGGGGGGCCTAGCAAAAAAAGTTTGGGAACCACTGTGTTAACCAAAGCTTATGAAAAATGGACTGAAGCTAAAGGAAAAAAGATGTTCTGTGGTCAGATGAATCAAAATGAGAAAGTCATGAACCAAGGTTCACACTCAGTAGGGACCTAAAGGCAGACTTGATACAAAATTCACAGGAACTATGTACAGATTTATTTCTTTAACATAAATGATCAGGAACAACCAGGGGAACGAGAATATAACTCAAGTCGAGGAAACCGGGAACTGAAATGCCCTGAGAATCCGTGATGGGGACTGTGGGAAGCTGCAACAGAAAGGGAACAATTACTTGTGTGCAGGAAAACAGAGAGTTAAAACTAAACCAGATTAAGAATGCTGTGGGTTACAATCAGAGTCAATATTCAATACTTGAATAAACACAGAGGTTAAGAGAGCCAAGTTAACTAAGAGTGAATAAAGGACTGGCGTGGAGCAGCCATCCACGGTAAGTGAAATAGTTTTGGAGTAATTGCCAGGGATGGAAAACAGGTGCAATACTGATGGCCCAACCCAAGGGCATGGCCACCGAGGCAACCTGAACGCTCCCCGGCTAGTGTTCCCATTGACCATGACAGAGAAATTCTTTTTGGAAAAAACAAGTTCCCAGACTTGTTATCAGGGAAGTTCAAAAGCCTGCATCTCTGATAGATTAGAGGTGCATTAGTGTTTATGGAGTTGCCACCTTCCAGGCAGTTCTGGGACTACAGGTGCAGCAGGTGGTGCTTTTCTATTTGTGCTCTATCCTTTTATCTTTGATATTTTCTCCTATTTTCTCCCACTTGCTTTTTTTTTCTCCTGCCTGTTAGCTTAGAAATGGTCATATTACACTGTAATAACTGAAATAACACTAATAGAAATGAATACATAAACGAATACAGAAACACACAAAATGGAGGAGCATATAGAGATTTTATGGCGCTCATCTTGGAAAAGCGAAATATGTTTGGCACAACATGGGAGTCAGCTAATAATTCGGATTACAAAAGCTGCGAGGCAGGACAGGTTTAATGGGGGGAAAAGTTGTTTTTCTGATCTAGTTCCCTTCTGGGTTTTTAGTCTATTTTGTATCCATTTAGTTTGTTATGTGTTCCTGCCTCTGTTGTGTTCTTGTATCAGACCTAATCTCATTTCGGTATTGTGGCACTTGCTCCTTGTAGTTTACTGATAATTGTGTAGTGTTTCTAGTTTGAGGCCTTAGTTTTACTTCTCTGGGCTCTGTTCTGGGTTATTAGGTTGTGTTCCTTTCCTCTTTGTAATTCCATGTTTAGGTACTTCATGTTGTATGTTAGGCGTTGTTTGTCTCCTGTGCTTGTGTATGGTTTAAAGCCTGTGGTGTCATCATTCCTGATTTTTTTATTTTTTTTTCCTTTATGTCCCAGCCTTATCAGTTCACTCCCGAATCCTGATTTCTGCATTTGGGTTTGATACACTCAATACACAGCTCTACACCATAGAGTTACTGCCATCAAATTCCGTCCACCCATTCTCTTACATTTATCCTTATCAGGGTTGCAGGGTATCTGGAGCCTATCCTCAGTCCAAAGACATACAGTTATTGGGGTTGAGTTAAGTGGTAATTCTAAATTACCCATGAAAGGTTGTATGTCTCTCTGTGTTAGCCCTGTGACAGACAGGCAGCCTGTCCGGGGTGTACCCCGCCTCTCACCTTGCAGTAGGTGTGACAGACTCCAGCCCCCTGGGACCCTCACAATAAATAAGCCATTAAAATCAAAATGAATTATTTGTGTTTCTTTAAATTTTCCATTTTATCAGTTTTAACATTTGATATGTTTTCAATGTTTGTGAATAAGATATGGGATCATGAGATGTGTAAAGCATTATATTCTGCTTTTATTCAGATTTCATACACTGTCCCAGCTCTTTTGGGACTTGTTGTATCACATGTGAGATGCTGAAGTTCTTTAAAGTAATTATTGTTTTTTTTCCCTCCACAGTGTGGAGAAAGTTGGTGCAGGTAAGGTGATATAAAAACAAAAAAGAGAATGGCAAGCACCTTGAGATGACTGTTGTTTTGGTGTTGTACAAATAAAATGGAATTGAATTGAAAGGAAGAAAGGAAGAGGTTGTGGCCACAGACTGAATAAGAGAGGTGAACTGCTAAACGAGTCTTCCTTCAGAGTCTTCACAGATACATCGACGGACTGAGGGCTGGTGAACTCCTGCATTCCATGTGTGACAGTGAGGCAGTGCATTACAACTCTGCTTAAAATGATGGGTTACCAGCTAGTGAACTGGTTGACTTGAACAAGTGTTGTATTTTATTTTATTTTTCTTTGTTAAAATTCATGGTAAACATTACAGTTTTGTTTGGGTCATTAAATTTCAGGGCTTTTTAAGAGAGGCCCTTTTTTTAGTTTGCAAAAGGGCAAAAGTTTGATGGCTTCTTTTTTATCAGGTATGAAGAGTTCGTCATGTTTTATTAATTTAGATATCAGTGATTGAGACATCCAATGTAAGTCAATCACAAGTCTGTTGGCAAATAGTTTTCTGAAGTACTAACAAATAAGTAGTTACTTTTTATTACAGTTTATGCTCCACAGATTACTCTTTTGGATTCAGGATGTTATCCTGTATACTCAGGACTCTTTCAAAGATTATGTGAATCAGAGCTGAAAACTGAGGATCTGAATTCAGTGATCCTGATGATGGCTTCAAAGAAATATACAGGGACATACCAGCTCACAGCTATTTTAGAACAGATGGTCAGTTGTAATAACACTGGACTGATGTCAGATTGTACTGATGGAAGCCTATTTAATTCAAGAGCATGGATATATTGTATTCTTATATTTTTGTAGTGCATTTGATGATGTCAGACATCTTTTTCAAATGAAAACTTTGCACTACTTTGGATTTGGAAAGAAGCTTGAACACGCAATCCATAAACTCCAAATTCAGTTGCATTTATACCAAATGCATCAACATTTTTAACCACATTTATTTTCTTTGTATAACAAAATTTGTTTACTAAATTAAAATTGCATTATCTATATCTTAAATCACTTTGAGACATTGGAAAAGAGAATGCTGCATAGGTTAAACTGGACAAACCATCCTTCTGAGATGAGATAAAAACTTATCCCACTGCCTTCAAGATGGATGGATAAAGAAGACATTGTGTACTCCGAGACTTCTCCTGGACTCAGACAGCTCTGCATAGCAGCAATTGACTTTTGTGATGATAAATGTACAAAAGGTTTTTAGAAGCATTCAGTTGCATTCAGTTTTATTTTGAAGGAATTTTAGGCTGAGGAGGTTCATGTAACAAGGAGTAAGCATATTTCACTTCCTCTTCCTCCCAAAGGGAAAGAAGAGAAATTCAAAATTGTAAATGAATTTACCAACAAAATAATCATTCAGGCTTTAGTTGGTTTTACTTGGATATGACCACCTGAGTATTCTGTGAAGATGATATAGAAAGTGTGGATTGTCTGCTTTTTCCACACTGGCTTTCTGGAATCACAGGAGGAGTTGGTTACAGTCCAACAGGATTCAATAAAACAGTATGGAATATGTTTTGGGGCTTTGGTATCAGGACTCTTTTTTTCTTTAGGAACTTTTTTTTAATGCTTATGCTTTTTTCATGTTAATTAATATTTTTAATATTTATTGTATTTGATATGTATCTTGATATGTCTCCTAAACACTCAGCCTTTGTATAATTTATTTTTGTTTGGTGGATAAGCGCCTCATCTGTTCGTATTGCTATTGTTCATTAATAAAATTGGGTGGAAAAGTTCTCTTGTACGACGTGTGTTGAATTTCAGGACTTCTCTCTATTGATCTGGTATTTTCATGCGGTCAGTTTTCACAGCGACACTTCAGGACAACAAAGGTACTGCAAGTTTAATACAGTTAAAAAACAAAAAAGACACCCCCCACCAAAAAAAAAACAAAAGACAAAAACAAAACTATTCGCCGTGAATTTACAATAGATCTTTGTGGGAAAACGAATCGGTAAAAATCCAGCTTTTATGTATGACACAGCACAGACAGTAGTTTACACAGGACACACAGTCATCCTCATAATGACTGACAATAAAATAATTAGGACACCTGTACAGGCTATCCGGGGAAATTAACGCAATTTAACAGCAAATATTCTAGATTTTTTCTTTTTTGTTATTTTCTTCTGTGAGCAGCTCGTTATCCTGTTCTGCACAGCATTCACCCCTGCAGAGTGAAAGTGAAAGTATCCCGACAAACTTCCTGTGACAATCGCGCAGCAAGGGGTATGACCGTGGAGGGCACCGGGGAAGAATCATGAGTTTAATATTCACGATATTTATTTACTGGTCTCTAAGTGCAGGTGAGTTATTGTCACAGATTACAGCTTGTGTGTAGGTCAGCAACAAGTATCGGCACTACAGGCTACCACATGAACTTAACACTGTTTGATCTTCTATGCCCGTGTGTGTCATTCAGGTGTGTGGAGTGTCCATCAGATCCTGTGGCTGCCCTGCTACTTCATTGATGAGCGTGTGTTTTTGAATAAGGACAACCACACAGAGACTCAGCTCATCCACAGAGAGGCTATACTTCAGTTTGGTCAGAAAGGAGATGCTCCTGTTAACCCAAACGCCATCACTTTCCTGATCACCAGTGAGTTACTGCAGCCTGCATGAGGAGAAGGCTGAAAACAACATGAACAACAACAACAACAACAACAACAGTGTGTTAGAGTTTATTTTATTGTCTTCTAGGATCAAAGTTGGATCTGCTGCAGTATGTGGAGGGGGTGGAGGCAGAGCAGCTGAAGTGTGAGCTGCACAGATACAGCACAGAGGGCGGTTACGTCCGCTGGCCTGTCCTCGGTGCCCATGAGTACAACCACTGGTTTACCTGCATCCTCAGACACAGCAGGGGCCTCTTCACCATCACCAGCTTCCTCAGGCGCCCCTTCGACCAGCCTCCCCCAGGACGACCAGACTACCACAAATGGCCCCCCATCCCTAACAGAGAGGTACTCACCACCACAGGTAAACTGAACATATGAGGATTTCAGACTAAAACTGAATATATTTGTCTTAAAAGTTTGTTTTTTGTTGGAGTTATGACTAGTCGTTAGTATTGCTGTGCCAGACCCCATAAAGGAAGAAAATATAAATATTATGGGAACAAACTTTGACTGAAGGAAAATAAAACAATTAACTTGATTACAAATGACTAACCATCCATTAAAACAAATAATAAAATGTTCATAAAATAATTAAAATAATGAAATAATAAAAATGTACTTAATTCTTCTCATAAAATACATTGATTTGGTCAGTCTGATTAATAATTAAATGAAGAACTACAATCAAAGTTAGACATCAGCAGTCTCACCCGATGACATATTTACATATCTACAAAATGTATTACACCAGCACATAACCTAGAAATATTAGTATTTGTTTGAGAGAGAGTGCGTCCCAGAACAAATGTGTATTTGTCCTATAAGATGTGGTTGAATGCATCATTAATGACAACAAAGAGCATCTGTGGCAGGTGCTTTGGATTTCCTCAACGTGTGCAGGAATTTTTAAGCTAATTAAAGATAAGAAAGTGTTATCATGTGGAACAATGGTACTGAGTTAATGAGGAAGATTGCATGCATGTAACAGGAACCTGTGTCTGTGTAACTAATATCAGCCAGTTGGTGTTAATGATTACATGGATGAGACAAATAAACACATGTACACAGATAAGAGGTAAGGATCCTTGTGTTAAGCTATATGCACAGTAGGCTGTACCCAGGTGGTTTGTTAACTGAGTGGTATATGTACCCAGCTAACCAGGAATCTTCAGCCGTAATGGCCTAGAATTAGGGATTGCCAGAGGTGTCACATTTCAGATTTAAGAAATGTTGCACCACTTAGGGTTCATCTTCAACTTTCAATACACAAATGAAATATGGCCTTTCCCATGGCTCCTACACTGTTATTGGACGCTTGTATTGAGAAATGTGCTTAACAACTCGCATGTGTTCATGTTTGTCACACTTTTCCACAGTCGCCATGGTCATCAAAACACAGACTCCCTCAGTTAAAGCACGCCTGAAGTTCCAGCAAAAGCTCCACTGCCAGTTTGATGTCGACCACAAAGGTGCAAAGGTCACTGTGGAGTGGCACAAGCAGCACCACGGTGAGAGGACCAAGCTCTTCAGTTACAACAGGCGCACAGGACAGACCCAAGGAAGTGGTGTTGGACTACGTGCCTTTGCAGCCGGAGATGCCTCCTACACCCTCGCCTCCACCATGATAAGCAGTGAAGGGACCTACATTTGTTCAGTGTCCGTGAATCCACTATTCGGCAGGGTGGATATAAATCTGCAGATTGAAGGTGAGGAAAACAGTCAGAGAGTTCATAGGCCATGGACAAAAGTACTAATACTAAATTGTGCTTATATGCTTTCAACCACATTTACTGATGGAGTTTAAGGTGGACTGTGAAAAAGCTGTTTGTGATGTGTACAGCATAGTGTGACAACCATAAATACTCTTATTATTACTGTTTAAAGTTTGCTGGAGATGTTTACTGCTATCAGGAGCAACGTCAAAAATATGTGGTAGAACCAGTCCGTCGCTGTTTCCTGTTGCATGCCTGCTGTCACTCACTCTGCTGTTCACGCCCACTTTTCAGCATTATCAGCATAGCGTCATCGCCATCAGGCTACATGCTGTTGGAGGGCTGCACATGAACATGTCTGCAAAACCATGTCTCCTGAATAGGACAAAATAGCGTGTAAAAGTATCTTTGTAAATGCTGACAAAAAATTTTTTTAACTTTTTTTTTTTTATTCAGTCTTTTTTTCTTTTTTTAAAAAAAAAAGCAAATCAGGCTCTTAAAGTGTTCATTCTCATCTTATGTGATAAAAGTCGTATGGTGTGGATGTGTTTTTTAGAACTTAGAAATATAGAAAGTCAGCAGAAAAGCCACTGTTCGTTTCAGCTTTTAAAGTAATGTTTTTTGCTTTCCTCAGAGCCTCCCCATGTCTCCCTCAATGTGGGACCCAGTCTCTCACTAGTGGAGGGTAACAAGAGGAAGATTGTGTGTGGGGCAAACAGCTACTACCCTCGGGATGTGGAGATAATTTGGTACGAGCAGGATCCAGTCATGTTGGACGCTCCACATCCCAGGTCACTGGAGAATGTCTTCCTTTCCTACCACAAAGAAAATCGGGACATGACCTTCTCGTTGTCGGGCTTCTTCTACCTCCAGGCTTCGCTCAGGGACTCTGGGAAAAGGTTCACATGCAGCGTTTCCCATCAGTCCCTGAAAGTGCCCATCACAAAGAGCTTCACCCTGATTGTGGAAGGTGAGTCTCAGTGTAATACTAGGAGCTAGCATCTGGGAGGAGCAGAGCTTGATGTGTGTTCTGTTTCAGAGCCAACAAACTGGATGTTGTACCTCGCTGTGGGCTCTGTTATGATCCTGCTGTTGTATGTGAAGCGGCGCTACCTGCACTCAGGTGAGTGATACAGACCTGCTGCTACATCAAAACACACACACAAGGAAAGAATACAGTCACACGAGCTTGCTGTTTTGGAGTCACTGACATGAAAGCATGTAATATGAAGATCATTATGACATAACTCGTTGATGTTCTAGAGGGTAATTGTCATTTTTCTTCACAGCATGGAGAACGTTAGCGGGTAAGGCGATATAAAAACAAACAAACTGGAGGACTGGGATCAGAGCGAGAGGATGTGGCCCCATTCTCAACACACAAGGCTGGCTGGCAAACTGTCCTTTCTGGGGTCCCCATAGAAACACCAGTGAAAGGTAGATTTGTGTCGATGTGTAAACTCCTGCATGTATGAATGTAAAACAGTGCAATAACATTAAAACTACTGAAGATTACGGGTTAGCAGCTGCTGAGCCAGTGGATTCAGGAGCCAGGACTGATTCTTCTGATGCACGAGACACTTTTTGGACTAAACACTGGGGAGACAAGGTTCTATATAGAGCTGAATAAAAACAGAATATTGGAAACTGAATGTCAGTTTACTAAATGAAGATTACTGTAAAATTAATAAATATAATAAGGATGCTGAAAAGAATGAATCCATAAATAAAATATGCACTACCTTTACTATAAGCTTTTATTTAAACACTCAGGTGAAAAATAAACCAAGTAAGATGATGTTTGGAGAGCGCGGGCAATTCTAGGTTTAAACCTTTTTTTTGGGGGGGGGGTTCAGCTCCCAGTCATGCATGCAGTGCCTTTATTTATTAGTAATGGAACATGCTGTTTGCAAATGTCATCAACCTTTTTCACACTTGCAAACCTTAACTCATTTTGATTAACATCACAATGTCACCTTCAAAAGGAAATGAGTTCCTCTAAGAATAATTCAGAGTGAATTGTGAGAGATTTCAATCTAATCCACCCATTTTAGCATGGATCCAAACTGAGGCAAAGGCTCAGTCATTAAAGAGGCACTATTTCAGTTTCTTAATCACATAGAGCCAGCTCACTGAGTCACCAAGCACTTAAAGTAGCATTACATAGTATAAACAATGGAAAATCCCTGCATAGACCTTGTACATGAAGCAAACTTGTAATAGAGTTGTTTTATATGTTTTTGAATTCATACAAATGCTCCCTTTATTATGCAGACTCAGCATAAAGCATCATGTACCCCAATTTCACGAGTGGAGAACAGATTTGTAGTCTGTTCCCTCTGACTCTGTGTGTCTCTCTCCATATTCCTGGAATTGTATTTTTTGGAAAATGATAAAAATATAATCTTATAATTACTATAACAGCAGGTTGGTGTTCCAAATAATCAACAACAGTACAACCCACTACTTAGATACGTGAAATCATCATTAATAAATGTGGGTAAAAAATGAAGCTACAGCTTTATAATTTTTGGTGAATGTGACTACATGTCCACTCTTACCTGTTTCTTTTTGCTCTCTCTCTTTGCTGTCTTCACCCTACTCCCTCTCTATCCTCCTCTCTCTCAGTCTTTGTGCCATCACCCAAATGTTAAATGTTGCAGTGAATAAAAGATAAACTGATCCATATCAGTTTATAGCAATATTCAAACTGAATACAGGTTGCTGCTGACATACATAGATAACAACATTCTGACTTGCTGCCACCTGGATCTGGAGCTGTACAGTAAACAAACACTGAAGCCCAATTTGACCAGAATAGGAATAGAAATTTGTAACAAACTATTAATAGTAAAGTTCATCAGCTCCTTGGCTGGCAACTCGCAATATCCCAGCACACTAGTGGATTAAAGGTTAAAATTAGCTACATCAGCTAATGCTTTTGACCCTATATAGCATGCTTGAGCACACCCAAAAAGAGTCTAAACTTGCCTATCATGATGTTATGATGGTATGTCCAAGAGCAGCCTGTATTCAGAGTTCATGATCCCTTTATATTAAAAATCACAAGAAAAAATTAAGCTGAGCAGATGAGAAGAATTCCTCATATTTTATCAGTTTTAGAAAAGACAACAAAATTCAGTCACAGGTTTATTGGTAACTGCAAAGATTTGAAAGAAGAGTCGAAAGAGAAGCACTCTCACTAATGGAGGGTAACAAGAGGAAGCACTCACGTTTTTTACTCCAGAGTGTTCCCACATAGCAGACAGGTCTGGCCCGGATCTGGTGTCTAGCTGCCACTGCTGGCTGACTTCTGGCATGGTAAGTGGTATGTCACCCAGATATGGGCCAGGCCTGGCATAGGTGGCACTGTCTATGTGATGGCATGCCACATCTGGCCCGATTACGGTTTGGTTTATGTGGCCCAGGCTCATTGAAAACAGGTCTGGCCTGGATCCGGCATCAAGTTGGCACTTCTGACTGACTGGTGTCATGGCAGGGTGTATGTCAACCAGATGTGGGCCAGGCCTGGCAATGATGGCACTATTTATGTTCCTCTTTTCCTATTTTAGTTAGAAGACCCAAATGCCATGTTACAATACTATACTGCAATGGTAGCCAACGTTTCAAATGCAGGTTTGACAGGTTTGTGAGTGTACATTTTATCTCATGTTTCGCACTGGGTGGCTATAGCTCAGGAGGTAGAGTAGGTCACCTACTGATCGGAAGGTTAGTGGTTCAATCCCTGGCTCCTCCAGTCTGCATGTCAAGAGTGTGAATGTGTATGAATGTAGTTAGGAAGCACTCAGTTTAGAGAAAGTGGGTGAATGTGGCATGTTGTATAGAACACTTTGAGTAATCTGGGAGAGTAGAAAAGTGCTTTGTAAGAATCAGTCCATTCACTGTCTGAACAGAGTTTCGTCATGTTATTTTTGCACTATTATGTTCCGGCACATGCTGTTATTACATGGCTTGATTAAGGTACACATTAGGCTGACATCTGGGGCCAGAGCTGAAACTGTTCTGGGCCAGCACAGGGCCCCAGCAGTATGTCTGCAACTGGCCTTGTGCTGGCCCATGTGTGGGCCACCTCTGGCAAACCAGATCTGGGCCACCAAAGGGCCGTCATTCTTTGCAGTATGTGGGCCATGTGTAAGCACATTGTGTGAGCCAGATCCGGGCCATACCAATTTTGCTATGTGGGTTACTCCTCACCTTACTCTTTTGGAGATGCTGACATGTTCTTTGATTAGATTCAGAATGTTGTGCTTTGGTCCTTAAACCTGGATACTGGTTGAAAGAACCTCACAGCCCATTGTTCATTCAGTGGGCTAGTTTCAGTCATTGTGCAAGTGTACTGTTTATAAGAATGTGGAAACCTGCAGTCAGCTAAGACTGAAGAAGTCACTTGGATGAGCAACGAAACGTTTCTCCCACTGAAAACGCCATGCCAAAGACATTCTGTCTAATTTATTAAGAAATTATTTTAACAAATAAACCTTTCTTGTTTAAATATGTTATGGTGTGTTCTCCCTTTGATTGGGACGTCTTGGTGTTTTTTTTATTAAGACAAATAAAATATACACTGTACATAATAATGTACAACACAATGTTATAATAGATTTAGAGTATTGTTGTGCTGTGGGAGCTCCTCCGCATGATTATGTAATTAAGGTACGTTTATATATATAATATACTACTACTTATATAATTATAACCATCACTATATGTATAGTGTATTTCTTTCTACATTTTAGACCAGTGGACCAAATAGGTTGTGAACTGGCTTTTATTTAGGAGTAGGTAGGTCCTCTCTTCCTCGATGGCTCCATGACTCTCATTATGTTGTACACTAGTTCACTCTCTCGCGCACAAATCGCCACCAAAACACAGCACAAGCCCTGCCAGTGATTCAGTTCCTTACAAACCATTGAATTAGGTACTGAAGCAGCGACATGCCGAATGAAGCTTCAGATGTCATTGATCATACGACTCTGTTCAGACACAGGCACAGTGTTTCTGAAGCAGTGTGTTGATTTTTGTGACACATGCGCTGTCTGGATGAGGCTATTTGAATAACCAGGTTATTCATTGTTATCTTTTATTCTTTTATATTCTTTTATGAAGTTTTAAGTAGTATCACTTGATTAAAACATTTATTCAATACATTACACATATAGTTTCAGTTGTGTACGTGCTGGCCTTCTGTCTGGTGGAAAGGTTACAAGATTTAGCTGGTGAGGTGAGAGGTGAAACTGAGTGCATTTCAGGTCGACACAAACACACACACACTTAGAATCCCTCAAAATATGTTGCTTGTGACTGCAAAATTGTGCCTGCAAAAGAACAGTTTGTTGCAGAATGTGTGCCTGATGTTCCAGACGATAAGCGAGCCTCCGGCAGCGACAGGAAGACACCTGGGATGGAGACGAGGCGATGTTGTTTTTTCAAACTGTGTTAAAAGTCATTGTGGTTTTGAAACTTATGCATGTATTGTATCTGCTTGACGCATGAGGGGGCGTCATAAAGGTAAACCCTAATGGTATAAAACAGCTGCTTGTGTATTGTTAGGGAGAGATTGATGCTGTCTGCGTACAGTGTTCATCTCCCACACGTGTGTTCATTAAAATCATCGTTTGACCAACCCTCCTGTATCCCTTCTCAATATTTGAACCCTTAACAATACTTAGGAATTTTCATTCCCATACCTTTGGACCACTTGTTTGAGAAAAATTCTAATAAAATAATTCAACGTATCAGCAATGATTGAGAGCAGTGGTCTATTCTCCTGTCCCGAATGAGCTGAGTTGAATGTTCTGCCCAGACTATTCTATTTATTTTACAGATGATACCAGTTGAAAATCCAAACGACAATGCTTGATAAGCTGGACAAAATAACTTCTAACTTCATATGGGATAAACAGCAGCGTAGAATTAGACTCAAGACCCTGCAGTTGTTTAAGATAAGGGGGGGTATTAATGTTCCTAATTTTAAACATTACTACTGGGCTGCACAAATAAAACCTTTGCTGACATGGCTGCCAAGTGATATTCATACTTGCTGGCTCAATATAGAAAATAGAAAATATCCTGAACCAATGGAAACACTTCCTTTTCTAGATAGTCTTGTAAAATAAATGGCAATCTGGAGAAAAAAAATACATTCGAGTTTTGGAACAAAATTCAGTCAGCACTGGGACCACAAAAGTATCATTCATCACTATCAAGCATTGGATCTATGAAACCCTTTTCCCTGTCCACTTTTTAAATGCAGTATTTGGATACTGCATTTAAAAGTGGGCATATAATGGACTGAAATGTGAACATCAACTATTGGAACAAGGGAACTTTAAGACATTTGAACATCTGAAGAATGAATTTAATCTCCCCAGGACAGATTTCTATAGACACCTACAACTAAGGTCCTTTTTGACAACACTCGAGAGCTAGGGAAACATTGCCAACCCCACACCAATTGAAGAATTTCTAAAAAAAAAACAACAACAACCCAAAAAACAGATGGGAAACAGAGACAAGACTACTACTATTAGTCAAACCTATGACGCATTTTCATCAATGATTAAGCATAATTCCCTGAGGATGAGGGGAAGGTGGAAAGCAGAAATAAATGAAAAATACCTGATGATATCAAGTGGGAAATATGTACTAAAGCACACCAGACCACTAATTCAAACAGATGGAGAGAGTTTAAATGGAAAATTATCAGCAGATTCTACAGAACACCAGAAATAACTGATAAGATGGGCCCCACACTTCTGAGTTCATACTGGAGGATCTGTGGGACACAATCTACCAACCATACCCATATATTTTGGCTCTGCCCTAAACTCTGTGTATTCTGGAGGCAGATATTTGATCCTATAATTTGAGTTTTCAAAGTAAATATTCCACTAAGTCCTACAGTAGCAGTTTTGGGAAGGATTCCAGAACTTATTGACTGCAAAGCCAAAACTTACCTCACTGCAGCCCTAAAATGCATAATTATTAGATGGTTAAAACCAGGACCTCCCACATATAATATATGGATCCAGAAAGTGTACGATGTCTATCAACTAGTCAACTTTCACAAGTCTATTAACCAACCAACCACGTGACTTCATGTTCCGTAGTGACAGAAGATGGCGCTTTAAACTTTAAGCACTTATTTCTTAAATGCAACTTTACAGACAGAGTTACATCCATGGCAGTTTTTCAGAGCAGGGCTCAGTGGTTAGCCTTTATATGTATAGCATTTCACATATTATGTTTTTCTTTTCTCACAGTTCACCCACTCTTCCATGAGCTGGTCCTGGACTTTTGATCTCCTTTTTTAAACATTCTTCTTTTTGCTTGAGTTCTTTCTCTTTTACTTGTTTTGCTTTTTTGTCAATTACTGCCTGGCTTAAGTTTTGCTTCAGGGTAAATTGTTTCTACCATCAGCGTTTTGGCGCCGGAGCGCACCGCTGCCTGCTGTCTTGCGCTTCTCCGACCCTGGGACACGGGCCCCGCCAGCGCGCTGTAGCGGCCGCGACCGCTGGCGACAAAGAAAAACTGCTCTTCATAGAAGACTCGCGCTCTGGGAGACGTTTCCTCGACTCCGGCTCCCAGAAGAGCCTCCTTCCCCCGTCCGGAGCCGACAGTTTAGCAGCGGGCTACGGACCGCAGCTTATTGCGGCTAATGACTCTCCCATCGCAACGTTCGGGGAAAGGTTCGTCACTGTTTGTTTTCATGGTCGGGATTTCCAATGGACCTTTGTTGGTGCCGCTAGCTCTGTACCTATTTTGGGCACCGATTTTTTTTGTGCCCACGGACTGCTGGTCGATGTCGCTAACAGACGCTTAATCGATGCCCTGTCTTTTTCTTCAATACCCTGTTTCACTCGCGCCACCGAGCCCCTGAATCAGGGTAATTTAGTGACTTCAGGGAATGTTTTTCAGCGTTTGCTCTTGGAGTTCCCTTCACTAACTGTTCCTAATTTCTCGAACACGGCAACGAAGCACGGGCTTGAACCTTATATTCCGACGGTCGGTCCCCCGGTGTTCGCACGCGCGCGCCGCCTCGACCCCGCGAAACTCTCCGTCGCTCAGGAAGAGTTTGCTGCAATGGAGCGCCTCGGCATTGTGCATCGCTCGAATAGTGCCTGGGCTTCTCCTCTACACATGGTGCCCAAGTCAGACGGTCGGTGGCGGCCTTGTGGGGATTTTCGCCGTTTGAATAATGTCACGGAGAACGACCGTTACCCCCATTCCCCACATCCAGGATTTTTCCGCCCACCTCGCCGGCACCTCGATTTTTTCTAAAATTGACTTGGTGCG